GCTGACCTTGTGGTTAGGTAAGCAGCCCAACTCATAACCACGATGTCACCAGCGTTCCCTGTCTGTTTCCACAGATGTAGTCAACTTGATCCCTGTGTATTCTACCTGGTGAAGTCCATGTATATAGTCACTGTTGTTGACAAACAGTATTTGCAATAGTATATCGTTACTTTTGCTATTGTAAGTTCTATGTGATCTCTAGCTTAATTTCTATTACCAAGGCCGTATTTCTCAATGACATAATCTTCCTTGTTTCTAACTTTTGCATACTAATCGCCCTTGATTACATAGCCCAATTACGCTTTTTTCTGGTGTTTTGGTTACTCGGCCTGTTCTAGGGGTTATTTGGGGGCACTGATTCAGAAAACTGCATTAGATATGTTGCATCAGCTCTAGTTTCCTACATATGGTGTTCTACTGTATTTTTAGCTATTTAGTTATCCTAATGTATTAATTTATCTTCCTTATTTTAAATATGAGAAGAATTCAGATCCACAAATTACAGGAAAAGATAAAAAAGGTAAGTCATATTTGAAAAAGAATTAGGTATTAAGGGACTTCCTAAGGAAACTACATCTGAACCCATAGTGGCTAGTTCAGTATGCATTGAGTTGCCAATTATAAGGGCAGTAATTTGAACCAACCAGTCACTCTGCAGCCTTTAAAATATTTAATGGTTTAGAAACCAAAAGGGGCAATTCTTCCCTGTTCTATAAGATCACTAGGAGTTAGGTCAACTAGATGGAAGTGGGTTTTTCATTTTGGTATGGGAGGCTATGTAATATATAGAGAGACTACAAGTTGGGTACTATAAGTTAGATACTACAAAGCCAGAACATAGTTTGAGAAGAGTGGAAAATAAAAAATAAAATTGAAAAGGCACATGTAAGGATGTTGTGAGGGCAATGTAGAGTGTTAAATGTAAGACTACATAGCAATCTTCAAAAATATTCTGAAGATTTAAATTTTTCTTCAAATTATACGGAATACATTTCAATATATAGAAGTCAATAGATAATTCATGTTAAAGGTTTCAGAGGTAAGATTGCTCCAAGCTTTTTTCAAAGAAGAATTCTAACTTTTAAAAGTGTCTGTGCACAGGTGGAGTTGTGTCATCTTACAACAAGACTGGAACATTTAAATTTTAATAAAGGAGTTTGAACCCTGATGGACCCATTTGGGTTTCAGAATATTTGTATCTCTTTTATTGTACCAAATTCACTACCAGTAAATCACTTGTGATTCATCACAACCCTACAGCACAAAGTAGAACTGCCCCTGTGGGTTTCTGAGGCTGTAAATCTTTACGGGAACAGACATCCTCACAGTTCTCTTGTAGGGTGGCTGATGGGCTCCAGTAGCTGGCCTGTGGCTAGCAGTCAAATACACACCCACTACACCATCAGGGCTCCTTATTTGTGTACAGTAATTCTGATTCCTAGCACTCTTTTACAAAAACAAACTGGAACCACTTGCTATTCAGTTCCTAACCAAGGAACTGAAAATTCCAGTTCACGTAATTTGCACTGTTCAACTACATCTTTGGATAAAGGATACCATGTAAAGTATAACTTAAACTAAGTATTTATTACAACACAAACTACTTTAAAATAAAGCCAGCATGTACTTCCTCATCTCAGTCTACCTAACACTGAATCAAAATATCCTGATTTTTTTTTTAAATGGGTGAGCCCAGTGAAGAGTAGTATATGTTCTGTATCTCAAAAAATAGAGCTGATGGGGAAAACCCAGAAATAAGTCTAACATTTGAGGCACCAAAATGTATGTTGGCCAGTGTTACTAATACACCTGATGACATGTTTGATCAATTTTAGATGGAAAAGTTAGTAGAATTCAATTTCTTCATCATTGGCATTTGTGGGTTGGTACATATATTTGAATAATAATTTGTGTTGACTGGATTTCCTTGTATGTGGGTAGATATAATCCTATAACAGATAGCATGTAATTACTTCATGACAGATCTTGAAATATTCATTCTGACAATGTATGGGACACCAGTTCTTTTCGATTTGTCATTCTAGGCATAGCAAACCCTTAGAATTTTCTGATTCAAATGGGCCAATACCAGTTCATTTAAGCTCACCAAGTTTCCCATTTCAATGTCTAATTTTACTAGCTTTATATTTTTGTATATCCCACATTCTAATTACTAATGGGTGTGAGCTGCTGTTTCTTCCCATCACGAGTCATACCACACCAGCAAATGGAGGTCCCAAAGCTATACTCCACCAATGTCAATAAAATAGATAACAATTTTGATGAGACAGCTCCTTCCCAGTCATATTGTAAGTGCTTTTTAATTGGAAGGGCTCAACTTCTGGCACTGGATCAGACAATGTCCTGCTGCCGGTCACAGACTTTCACTGACTGATTGTTTTAGAAGTAGATTACCAGGTCCTTCTTTTGAGTTTGCCTTGACCTGGAAGTTCTGCTGAAGGGTAACCCTTCTGGCATTTGAAATATTTCTGGCATAGTGTCTAGCATCACACAAGCTCCCACAATACAATAAAGGGAATGTGTAAATTGGAAACAAAGAAAAAAGATCAGTAGTTAGAAAATATGGGCCTTGGTGATGGAAAACACGCCAAAGATTACGTGATAGAATTTTTTTTAGATCAATGACAAACTCGTTGGAAATATTTTTTTCAACAACATAAACAGTACCTACACACATGGACTTTGCCAGACAGATGATGCAGAAATTAAATAGACTATATTTACGAAAAGATGATGGAGAAGCTCATCATTCACAACAAAGTCAGGACTGACTATGAAACAGATCATCAAGTTCAAGTCAAACCTGAAGATAATTAAAACAAGTCCACATGAGCCAATGTATAACCTTGAGTATATCCCACCTGAATTTAGGGACTACCTTAAGGAAATGTTTGATGCACTGATATAAGTGCATGTAAGTACTTCATGACAGATCTTGAAATATTCATTTTTTGGAGGATGACATAGACATCATACATGAAGAGAGGGATGATCATTAAAAAGATATGAAAGAAAAAAAGGCCAAAATGGATGTGAGAACCGACTCTAAAACTTGTTCTTGAAGGTATAGTAGTTAAAGTGAATGGAAGAAACAAAAGAATGGAGCAGAATTTAAAGGGCGCTAGAGATGACAAAGTATTATAATAAAATGTGCAAAGACCTGGAGTGTGTAAACCAAAGGGAAGGATACACTTGACACTTCTTAAGGTGAAAGAACTGAAGGAAAATTTTAAGTTTCAGGGTGAATAATGAAAAATTCTATGAGCAAGATATTGAATGACACAAGAAGTATCAAGGGGAATATAAAAAGAATACCTAGCCCACTGTATCAGGAAAAGTTTGCTTAAGCTCAAGCATTTCAGGAGGCAGCATATGATCAATGAATCAATGATATTAAAGGAAGCAGCCCAAGCTTCACTGAGAGCACTGATGAAAACAAGGCTCCAGGAATTCACAGACTATCGACGAACATATTTAAACAAACAAATGGAGGCAATATTGGAGTGCTCACTTAGCTATAGCAAAAAATTTGAAAGTCGGCTACCTGGCCAAACGACTGCGAGAAATTCAACAGAATGCGGAAATTATCCAATAATATCATTAATATCACATACAAGCAAAATTGTGTTGAAGGTCATTAAAAAAATGACTGTGGTAGTACACTGTCAGGGAACTGCCAGAAATTCAAGCTGGATTGGAATAGATGTGGAACAAGGCTTATCATTGCTATTGTCAGATGTGTGATGGCTGAAAGAAGGCAATACCAGAAAGAAGTTTACATGTGTTTTATAAACTGTAGAAAGGCATTTGACGATGTGCATTATAGAAACTATGGATAGCACTGAGAAGAATGAGAATTCCAGAACACTTCATTGTTTATATAGGACCTATACATTGACCAAGAGGCAGCCAAATAAAAGAAGATACTAAATGTTTTAAAATCAGGAAAAATGTACATCAGGGTTGGATCCTTTTGCCTTACTTATTTAATCTCGATATGTCAATTTGAGCAAATAATATGAGAAACTGCACTACATGAAGAATGTGACATTAGGATTGGAGGAAGACTCATTAGCAACCTGTGATATAAGTTGACACAACTTTGATTGCTGATTGTGAAGGACTTGAAGTACTTATTAAAGATCAAAGACCACAGCCGTTGGCAATGGGCAGCACCTCAACATAAAACAAAAATCCTCACAAGTGGACCAATAAGCAACTCTTGATAAATGAAGTAAACACTGAAGTTGTCAAGGATTTCACAATCAATGCTCATGGAGCAACAGTAAATGAAGTGATATACTGCACTGGACAAATCTGCAAAAGACCTCTATGGGGTGTTAAAAAGCAAAGATGTCACACTGAGGACTAAGCAGCACCTGTCTCAAGCAATGCTATTTTCAACAGTCTCATATACACATGAAAGGTGGCGAATGAATTATCCTATCAGTGAATAATATGGAATATATGGATTGCCAGAAGGATGACTAAATCTGTCTTGGAAGAAGTACAGTCAGAATGCTCCTTAAGAGCAAGGATGGTGAGACTTTCTCACATACGGTGAACCTGTTATTAAACCTGTTACTAGGGAGGACTAATTCCTGAAGGCCAACATATTTGGTAAAGTTGAGGATCAATATAAAAGAAGACAACCTTCATCAAGATGGACTGACACAATGACTTTGACAGTGAGCTCAAATATAGCAATGGTCTTGAAGAAGGGTCAGGGCTGGGCAGTATTTTGTTCTGTTGTGCAGGGGGTCACTAAGAGTTGGAACTGACTCCAAGGCACCTAGCAATTAGATAAAGGCTTGTGGCCAAGAACTTCTGTATGGGTATAAATGATTGGGAATCAGAAATTTTTACTTTCTGAAATAAAGGACAAAGGGGAACTGAATAAATGAGCAAAATAAATGACTTTTTTTCAAGCATGTCATAGGGACTTTGCCTAGCCCCAGAATGATTGCTCACATACTTACTTTCTCCACATTTCAAGGAATGACTGTGCTGACACAAATCCTGTCCTCTCTCCCCCTGCAGCCCTGAACATGGGGGCTTTCCAATAGAGAGGACAGCCACAGACCTGCAAATAAAAGACATACAATGTGAGCTGAGAGATGACACTGTCAAGTGAAAGTCATTGTGGCTTTTACTCCTCACGCCTCAGTGGACAGAGGGCCATCAGGGGCAGCCATACTAGGACACAGACACTATCTCAATATAGTCCCACCTGAATTTAGAGACTATCTAAACATTGTCTACTAGATGTTTAGATATTCAGAGATAGAGACAGGGAGTGTGGGGTGGGGGTGGGGGCAGCAACACAAGAGCAAAACATACTTTTAATGATGAAAATGGAAATATCTTCACTTTTTCTCTATTTACAGCCATACTTCTTTCCCTTGCTTACCGATCTTACAATATTTATTTTCCACCTTCCAGGAAGAAAAAGAAATGACTGAATGCTATAGTTGTGAATGCCCTTCTTTCAGCAGTAAAATACTTGATCTCTGGGTGTTAATGTACTCACATCAACCTCCTTTTCTCTCCTTTGCCTATTATGTCATTAAGTCCTAGGTTAAAGAAAAATCCTAGACTGTTCATTAAAATATCTATGAAATCTACTTAAATGGTTATAATTCAGGTAAAAGATGAGAAGTAAAAATCAAAATGCTATCATATATATTAGATACTACCACAAATGACTATGTATTATAAAAGCTTCAGGAAGAACAGTGAGTAAAAATGACCATTAATTTAAAAGGTTTTAATTTCCCCACCTCTCCAATTAAAAAAAATTCTTCTTATACTTTCTTATAAAAGAATCATAATCGAAAAAAAAAAAAGAATCATAATCAAACTTGCCTTTATAAGTAATGTGATATTAGCAGACAAATAGCCTGCAAATGTTTCTTAACTTGGACATGTACATAAAACATACCCCCACCCTGGAACTATTTAAAGAGTCACATATTAAAGATACTCTGATTGCTCATATTTTATGTGAGATCTGTGGGGTGTTCACTGTCTTACAGAGGTTGCTTCTCTTTGGAGGTAGATGAGATATGCAGCCACAATAGGTTCAGTTGGCATTGATCTCAGTATGAGGTCTCACTGGATACAGGATGTCCACAGATGACTGCCTACAATGGTAGGTATCCTGAGAAAACGCCCAAGGTTGCTGGCTTCATGTTGGAAAGGCAGATATAGAAGGTGAGTTTCATGCCAAGGGAAGTAAGTATACTGCAGAATTAAGGAGCAGCTGCTGGCCAGGCTACTAAACTAAGTTTTGCAAGCAGAGTGGAATTTAAGATTTCTTAAGTCCAGAGGTCAAATAGCTCCACTGAGGTCAAGAATGGGGAAAAGCTGTTGCTTAGCAACCACATGGATTCTGTCTATTGTGTAAATTATGAGTGCCAAGGTACAAAGCTCACAATTAATATACTTTGGGTGTGTAAACTGTCAAACCCACTTTTCCCACACTCAATCCCTCCTTTCATGCCGAATGGTGGTTTGCCAAGGAAATGCTCTTGGATGTGAAAGGCTAATGCTGACTGCTGGGAAAGCTGAAAGAATAGTCTGTATTATGGAAGTGGGAGGTGCAGAGCCACAACAGAGGAAGTATTGGGAGACTGAAGCTGGCTTGCCAAAGTGCTTGACGCTGCCACCATCGAGTTGCTTGTGGATTCCTTAGATGAGAAGATCAAGAAGTCTTCAGCACATCACTCTCAGCTGAAATACTTCCCAGGGCCGAGTGCTCGTCCCTCCTTTTGGGGTTACTTCTACAATTAAGCAATTAGGTTCCCTTGGGCTAAGGTCTTGTCTCCAGAATATGCCTCTTGACAGTGGGGATCAAAGTGTTCATCAGAAAATTCCCTTATCTTTTAATTCCATTTTCTACTGCACAAACTATTTGAAGCCTACCGGTATGTTGGCTCAAAAGGTGTAAAAAGTCTCTGAGAAATTAATATCAACTTATTCTGACCCAGAAGCAAACTCTTTAGACACAGATATAAAACGAATATGCTGTGAAGCAGACTGGAAAAGATCCATTTATCTTTTACACAGCAGTGTGTACCCTGAATTGCTAAATGCTACGCAGTTTGGAGGTACCAGGCTCTTGAAGAAAATGCCAAAAGGGGAAGGTAGTGAATGACTGCCAAGGGTTGCAGACATTAAACTTTCACTACTTTTAAAATTGACTGGCCTACATCAGTTAAAAAAAAAATCAAAGAATAAGATAAAAGGAGTCATAAGTTAAAAAAAAGAATCTAAAACATATATGATACTCATCTAAAGGCAACAGAATAGAGACTTTGACTACCAGGAAAGAAAAAAATTGGTGACAAGATTTTTTAGAGAAGAGAAGAGATGACAAGTGGAAATATATTGAGGTATAGAAAATTGGTTTAGGAAACAGGTTTGGAGCAGGAAGAAGCAACAGTCAGTCTATAGTAATCAATATTGTTGTTGGTGCAAAACACACAAAAAACCCCAACCTGATTAACCCCTCTCTATAAGGTGATCTAGGATGCCGGCTTACTGCAGGAGTGTGAGGGAAGCTGCGAGTTTTGTTTCAAGGCAATGCTGAACCTCCAGAGACGGACAGGGAGCAAAGTTCATCCGCCCAAGTTGAAAAATTTGTGGACAAGAAATTATCATTGAAATTAGATGGTGGCAGGCATGTCCAAAGGATACTTTGGGGATTTGATCCCTTTATGAATCTTGTGATAGATGATGTGTGGAGATGGCAACTAGTGGACAACAGAACAATATTGAAATAGTGGTAATAGGCAACAGTATCATTATGTTAGAAGCCGTGGAGCGAGTATAATAGCCATGTTTAACAGTGTAGGTCAGTTGCTTTTCTGCACCCAGCTTTCCAAAGGACCTATTTTACTACAGTGTAAAAGTGAGGCTATGTATATTTTTCATGTTTCAATTTCTTAACCTTTCCTAATAGTCACACACACAAAGATCAAAGAATGACCTAACAACTGGGAAAAAAAGATGGTTTATAGGAACCCTGGTGGCATAGTGGATTATACATTGGGTTGTTAAACATAGGTCAGCAGTTCAAACCCCTCAGCTGCTTCTTGGGAGAAAGATGAGGCTGCCTGCTCCCATAAAGATTTACAGCCTCGCAAACCCATAGGAGCAGTTCTCCTCTGTCCTACAGGGTTGCTATGAATCAGAACCAACTCAATGCCAGTGAGTTTGAGCTCAGTCATACACAGTATTATTACTCAATATTTGTAATATTCTTTTAACATTTTAAATGTCATTTGAAGAAATTCAGGTACAGAGAGGCCCCTTCCAAGGCACAAGCATGCACTGTTACGATGGTGCCAATCAGACAGAAAAGAGGAGCTTTATATGGTTCTGAAGACAGCTTCATTTTCTTCCCTCAACTTTCTGCCAGAGGTTAAGCTCCAGGATGAGTCTTTTGGCTCAGTCACTAACAAATGCTTTCCTCAGTTTCTGTTTTTCCAATGCGTTAGTTCCTCTTAGATTAAATGCGTACTCATTTCTCCTAAATCTTTGCTTAAAACTGTGGAAAAGAGTACAAACTACATTGAGAAGTTAAGCAGAACCATGGGTATTATGTTCTCTGGGGTTGTTTGAGGTCTAAGATGATGAGCTCAACATCACCAACACATGCAGTCTCATAAACATGGATTTTTCTTTAAGCTGAGAAAACAAATCCCATACAAGGAGGCTACATTTACACTTAAATATCATTAAAAGTAGACTGTAAACTCCAGCTAGAAGTCTTAAACTCTGGAAGACTATAAGCGATAAAAATCTATAAACGCTTCCATTTATTGCCCTGGCAACCTCTCCCCTCCTTACACCTTGAAGCTTTTCTTTTTCCTAGGTCAACCTGTTGTGACAGTACAAGCATAACTCATTCACTCACCTAACCCTTACTAGCTTCTGGCCTGAACAAGAGCTTGCCCAAGGTGCTGGCGTCAGAGTTGACTGCCTAGTGGAGGAGGAGTTGTAAAATAAAGACTGGCTGAGTAGAAGGAAGATTTCGTGAGTGATAATGGGTTGCCATATGGTTGTTGTTAGTTGGCCTTGAGTCATTTCGAATCTTAGCAACCTTCTATGTGCAGAGTAGAACTGTATCATGGGGTTTTCAAAGCTGTGACCCCTTGGAAGCAAATTACGATGTTGGTTTTCTGAGGTACCTTTGAGTAGTTAAAACCACCAACCTTCCAACTTGCAGGAGTTCTTAACTATCTGTGCCACTCAGGAACACCACAGATCAGCACAGCCAAGTAAAAGCTGGATTGAGTGGGAGGTAGCTAACTGGAGATATTAATTAAATGAGTTTTAAAAATGAAAGTTTTGAAAGAGGCAACAATCTAATACACAGAGATGATACTGTAGGTAAAACCAAAACAATATATAAATTAACAAACTCAAGATACTCACCTTCCTATTTTTCATATGCAAGGTTAGTGCTTAACTTTCTAAAAGTATGAGCAGTTTAATTCATTACTTGTGGTGACAATTAAGCTATTAATGAACTATGAGGGTTTGGCATCCACGAACAGATTTTAGGCTAATTATAATGTACTGGAATTCAGAGAAGAAAACCAAGTACCGGTATGTATATGTACAATAGCCATGGTACCTCATGCTTTTTAGGGTTAAACAGCACATTATTATATAAATAAATGTTACTACAGCTAAACAAAATTGTTTCTAGGTTTAATCTTTCCCCCATATCATCAGCTTCAACTCTGGTGCATTGTCCTGATGCCATATACAATTGATGTTCACTATACATAAGTAGCAAAGTCCTTCCTTTGAGATTCCAGCATCCAAAAATTCCCTCCCTGACATGACTACACTTTTCCTTACACCTCTTATGACCAGACTATTCAGAGGAAAAAGGTTGGACCTTTTCCCAAAATAGGGTAGACTACAGGTCTGTGATAGTGAGACACTCATCACTCGGGTTTACTTTCCAGACTTGGTGGTCTCAGCACCATACTGTGGAGTTTCCATAATTAGGACAGTTTTCCCATCTGACTATCTGCATAAATTTGTGAAATTCAAGGGATCAATAAGTAATTTCTAGCTAACAAGTTGCAGAAAGGGTGGAATGAAAGAAATACAGTTAATTTCTCTTAAAATCATCTTAGCTATAAACAAGTAAACAGCAATTCCAAATGCTCTTTGGGGTCAGAGGTGGAGAGGGCAAGGCATGACTAGAGGGGATGGTGCATGGATTTCTCTGAATATATGATGGAACTAGGTCTTGAAGGATAGATAACCTAGGGGTAAACAGTAGTGGAAGTACACTTTAGAGGGGATAACCAGGAGAGCCCAAAGGCAAAGGAAGTAAGAATTTTATATAGAATACTAAAAGTTCTCAATTTTTTAAATATTACTATAAACAAGTGACCTCTTCCTGGCAGCCCCATTTGCCTCTTAAAGTACAGCCTGAAACCAATGCTAAATTCTTAGGTATCATCTGCCTCTTAAAAATGTGGACATGATAAAAATAAATACAAAACAAAGTACTTCTATAGATGGTTGGGGGTCCCTAAGGACTGCTGAACAGGGGAACAGCATAATCAAATTAGAATGTGATGATTGTGCTCTGTACGGATTGTCCTGGGAGGGGACTGGAAGTGTGGAATCCAATTACTGAGGATTGTACAGTAGTCCTGGCATTAAGAACTAATCTTAAATTAGAAGCAGCTGGATATATTGGAAGTACTAAAGATTTGCTTCCTGATGGCCAGTCTATTTATTTCTGAACACTGGTATCACTTTATAACATATCAATCTCAAACTATTCTAATGGTTCTTGTGTGGAAAAACATTATACTCCATGGATGAGAACAAGGAGAGAGATTCCTATATAATATAAAGAAAAAGTTTATAAACTTAGCAACCAAATACTTTAAGGGAATATGTAAGTTGCTGAAGAGCAGAGTATCAAATTTAATCAGCATAACAGTCTACAAAAACAATGTTCTACATCTTAATTTGGTAAGTAGAGGCTGGGATCTTAAAAGTTTCTATTGGTCACTTAAGGCGCTACTATATCCCTCTCTGAGGGGGGGAGGGGTGAAGTAAAGCTCAGAGACACATGGAAACGATTAGCCCAAAATGAGTCCAATAATGGATCATGTAACCATCAGTTTCCATGACTTTAAAACAGAAAACCTAGATGGTGCCTGGCTGTCAGCTGCTTTAAAATGGATCACATTAGAAGGTCCTGGATAGAGTGAAAGAAAACCATGAAACAAAACAACATCATAAAAGAGACCAGGCTTAGAGCTCAGACAGATATATGTATGGAACCCTTGAGACCAGTGCCCTGAGTCACCTTCAGGTCTGAAATGAACCCACTCCCACGGTTCAGTTTTTAGCCAAACAATAGCCAGATCTATTGTAAGGGGACAATAACACTAGTGAGCACCCACAAGCTGGTCACTGAAAGCACTTAAGCAAACAATTAAATTCATGTGATAGTGGTGCCATAGAAGGGATTTCTACATTAAATGGGAGGTTGGTGTGGAAGACCACTATAAGGGTAACATTGTTTTTTTTTAAAGAGTCTACAAAAAAGGTCTTGCTAAAGTAGCATCAGAGTAAAAAAGAATTTCAACATGAAAAATACCTATATGCTTTAAAAAAACAACAAAAGACAGTAAAGAGGGTTAGAGAAAGGGAGATTATAAATTACTTGTAATTTATAATTTATTTAGTATTACCTTTGCAATCTTCCCCATTTCATGTATGTCTGCTTTCTGATCTTCAATATCCATGAAAGCCGTTTCAATTCTGGTTAGAGTTTGTTCATGATTACTGCAGGAATCTGGAAGACCTTCAGGAAAGTAGAACCGTGGAATGTCTATGGACAATGGTGCGTTCACAACATTGTTCACATGAGGAACAGTGGGGAGAGGCTGGGGACTGCTTGGAAAGGTGGCTGGAGGGGGGAGTGATGTTCCAGGTTTCTTTTCAGGTTTACTTTGAATCTGAAAGGAAAATGTGATTATAAGACAAAAAAATTCTCAACAGTGACTCCTTATTAGTGTAATTTCTTATGACGTAGTAATAGAAAGTTTCTTAGTAATAGAAAGTTGGATATGAAAACAAACTACAATTCAAGACAGTACAAATCACAGGCTCACACTACTCTAGTGGTTATTAAGTAGACTAGTGCTAGAGAATGTTTACCCACATGAACTAAATCAATACAGTAGCAATAGCTCAATATATACACATACATGTTTAAAATATCTTATAGCACATTTTCCCATTAAGGACATGGCAAAATAATTGAAGAGTAATGCCCTATTAAAGATCTCAAGGAGTATTCTTCGTCATCAAAATTTGATTATGTAGTTCTTTTTAAAGACAGTTCTTGGTCTTTCTCCTTAATAGGCAGGTAAAATGAATTCTTTTGAAAATATGTTCTCTCTAAAACATATTTTGGGGAGGGAGTCTCATTTCTCCTCCTTTTTAGTTTGCCTCTGCCTAAATTATAATCACTACTAATCCTTGATGTTACGAAAGTCTTTGGTAAGAAAAATCATTTTAGTTTTAGAATATCCCCTACCAGGCTTATTGCTTCCTACTAAAGGTAGCCCTGGTGGCATAGTGAGTTTTGAGTTGGGCTGCTAATCTTAAGGTCAGCAGTTCAAAACCACCAGCCACTCAGCGAGAGAAAAATGAGGTTTTCTGTTCCTGTGATGATTTAGTATCTGGCACTCACAGGGGCAGTTCTATTTTGTCCGAAAGGTTCACTATAAGCCAGAATAGACATGGCTATTGAGTCTGGTTTTTGCTAAGGGCATGCCACATTTTATGAGTGGATACATATTTTCTCATTCTTGGTATAGCCAAAGGTCATGACTTTCATCACATCCAAATTTGATTTGCAATTTATTATTAACTCACTTCTAGTTTATATCTTCTTTCTTCCCCCAAAAGATTTATGACCTACCAAAAAAAGATATGAGCAGGTTTTTTTTAAGTGTGTGTGTATGGGGATATTGAGATTATCCATGATTTAGGGAAAGGGGAGGGAGAGGTACACCAACACTGAGGAAGAAGTTTATCAATGAATACTAAATTTAGTTCTGAGATTCCTAGCAGAAAATGAAGAAAGAAATTCATGAATATTTTTGAGGTTCTAATTTCTGATTGATCAAATTTTCTACTAAGGTTCACGAGGACTGTATTAGATGCTCTGTAAAGTATGAAAGATGGACAGGACTACTGATTTGTTAGATTTATTTAAAATTTCACTGAGCACAATATTCTGCTTTAATATTCTTCTTTCTTAAATCATCACAGTGAAACTCCTAAAGCTGAACAATAATTTACCTCTAAATAGACTTGAGCATCATATTTCCTTTTGACATGTAATAGGAACTTAACTTCAGGATAACAATCTTAGCTGCCCTTGAAAATACGAGTATAATAGAAAGAAAAGCTTCATTCACATAAATATGTGATGAGTATAGTTTAACCCACTGCTTTTGTTAGACATGGCCCATTTCCCATGTTAATATGTGGTATAACTATATAGTCTGCTCATATATTAATACTATTAAGGATATGAAGGCCAGTTGTCATACCATGCTTTTCCTGCAGCATCAGCATATTATATATATAAAGCAATCCTCAAAAAAGAACAGCTGAGAAGGGAAACCAATGGAATATGAAAAAGTATTTATACTTGTATAAGAAGTTTCAAATTTACAAACCACTTTTGGTTAAACAAACTAATAATCTATTTTAAATAAAGTTTTCTCTGCCTTAATGCTAAATCTGTAATTATTACATAGCCATATGAGTAAAAATTTGAAGTCAAAAGTAAAAGTAGATCTTAAAGTCCTAAAATAAGACATATAATAATTTCAGGCCTTTACTTAAGCATTTATATTAGTGTCATTTCCATTCTATTATTCTATGATGAATATTTATTAGACTATAAGTACAATCATTAAAAGTCTCCCCCTCCCCTAAAATATTTTCCATGGTGTGATAGCTACTGGGTATCAGGGTGATTGCGACAATTAAAAACACAGGTGCCAGTGGACACAAACTGGTGGTGGTGGTGGTGGAAAACGAGCCTTTAGTGTTAATGCCACATTTCTAATTTGAAGTTAATGATGAGCTATAATCATTATTCCTACAGACCAGTGTTTCTCAAAGGAGGTGATATTGACCCTTGGGAAGTGCTGGAATGACCCAAGGGGCTGCAAAAGTAATAGCTACACTTTCCTGGAGGATGGGCTATAGGATAAAAGTTTTTAATTGCCAGGGAATACTGATTTGTTTTTTTGTTTTTTTTCTGGTAAAGGAGTGGGTAGGCCAAATAAGTTTGAGAACCTATGATATAGCCTTGACAGAAAAAAATGACATTCACAACTAACTCTGGCTATCTGTAAAATTTTACACTTAAATGAAAAAATAGTAAATATTCTACTCTACTTTCCTTAATGGATTTACCAATACAGAGAAATTCATAAGTAAAAACCAAAAGCAAACTCACTGTCATCAAGTTAGCTTTGACTCACAACTGCCCAAGACGGCAGAGTAGAATTGCCCCAATGGATTTCTGAGGCTGCAAAGCTTTACGGAAGAAGAAAGCTTCATCTTTCTCCCACTGTGTGGTTGGTGGTTTCGAACTGCTGACTTTGCATTTGATAGTCCAATGTGTAATTCATAGTTAATAAAACTGATATTAGGTATATTTCCTTTTTCTTTACTGTTTTGAACTTTCAGTTCCTTCAATTAATTTTTCTTGAGTTCAACAGAAGACGCGGAATTGGAGCCTTAAGTAGCTTAATACAACTATTCTCTCTCCATACATTCTAGAATAAAACCAAGAAATATAATTTTCCAAGGTTTATTTGCAAGTTTAGGATTGGCTCATTTTGAATATAGCTGTTTCAGTTAAATCTGCAAGCAGCAATAAAAATATATTCCCTGTTTATTTTGAATTGGTTAGAATCAAATGGATAAAATATCACAAGTCTCCATTTTAGTTCCATTATAAACAAAATCATTTATTCATTCTGAATAGCATCGTTATACTATTATATGTCACTAGCATTTATAATACTTTACCTTTTTTTTTAACCTATCAAAAAGCCATTTCATATGGTCACAGAAGTAACTGAAGTGACTGTGGGTCACAATCACAATGATAAAATTTGTACCAGTGTTTTGGATGGCCGTTATTCATAAAACCCTTGGTTTGTATTGTATTCAATGTAAGGCAACTTATTTTGGTGAGACATTGGCCCTAAGGTTGTAAGCAAGAAAGCATGAACTCTGAAAATCATATCCTCTCAAGCAAAAAAACGATTCCCTCTCAGAGCTTGTTGAGGGAGGACATTCTTTCACAATCTTGAAGTAACTGCCACCCTTCATTACCTACATACACTATATTACAGTCTCTCTGTAAAAATAATTCCTTTTTAAAAAGATGGAGAATCAATATTCTTTTTTTAAAACATTCACCATAGATGTATCCAAGCCAACACAAAGATACACTATCAATTCAAACAGAAGACTACTGATTAAAAAGCAAAGCTTTCTAACACAGAAGTACTAGTTTCCTGAAGATATTTCTATTAAAACCCTAGTATTTTTTCCACTAAATTGTAAGAGATTTGTTTTTATTTATGATCTCTAAAACTGGATTCCCTTTCTACAAGAGAAAAATGTGAGTACTGTACTCCAGATCCAGAAGGTCTATTTTTAAACCTGTTGGAATCTCTCTACAAATAACTTTCTGCAAATAGCTATATAGAGGGCACAGATTAATTCCTTGATCTAGTATCAAGATACAAGTGAGCTGTAAAATTATTTCTAAGTTAGTTCATTGGGTGCCATTTTATTAGTATAAAAATATTTTTAAAAAACCCCCCAAACCACCCAAGTTTCAAACCTGTGCCTGCTGAAATGACTTTAGCCGCTTCTTAAACCGTGAGGGAAGGACAAAATCACAGCCCCGTGCCAGGAACGCTAACTCTCCCCTTAAATCCGGGTCCCTCCGTAGAGATGTCTCCTTGATCATCATCTTTGGAAAAGTGAACGTTTACTTAGAAACTGTCCAGAACACTTCTGAAGAGAGTCAGTTTCAGTAAGTTGTCAATCTTGTCAGGTAGATTTTTTTTTCTCTTCTATCTCCCAGACAAATTAAGTTCAGGCATTATGCTCTCCCAGCCTCCAGGGACCACAATCCATGCTTGTAGTGACATGCAGCTGGTTCCCGATTGCCGCCAGCGGCTCACAATACCTGCTCATAATGTTCAAGTTAAATACAGCCTGCTATGAGCCCGTTGCTCCTTGTAGGTAACTTGAAGTCAAATTGACCTGTACATGTTGAGAATACAGAGCCTTCTGGGAAAGAAAGCACCCACTACCCCAGCACCAAAGTTAGAAACATTACAGCTGGTCCTAAAAATAGCAACCTCTCGGCTAATGCTCACTTCTCAACCTCAGGAGTACATGAGGTGTCAATCCATGCAAGTTTCTCCTCCAACTGGTAGAAAATATGGTCAGCATTTTTGGCTTTTGTTATTTAATATTTTATAGAGGAAAAAAGGACAGGCTGTACTTCAAATTTGAAACTAATATTTTAGAACAATTTAAGAATTTGTTCTTTGAAGGGGAATCAAATATCAAGAACCTTCTAAATCCACTCGATTAAAATATGCAGATAAACGACATCTTTCATTCTCAAAGGAAATACGGGAAATGGTTTTTTCAACATATCTAGCTTTTGAAGTGCTGGATACATTTCATAATTTATTGTAAAATGTGTTGGTTAAGAGAAT